TTTGGACTTATTTCGCTACCGCTTGCCATATCAATTTGAAACTTTGTTTGTGGCTTTATCATAATAGATTACAGAGTTTGAACCATGTATTAAAATTCCATTTTTGACTGGAGTTATGGCCCTTTTGCACATAGGAAATTCTCATAATTAACTGTTTTCCATATTATTTGCAACTTAGTATACATGTATAATGGATTACAGTTTGAGTTAGAATCCAGTGTCCATGTTCTATTTTTTCTGGAGTTATAGCCCTTTGCACATAGGTAACTGTATTTTTTTCCGTCAACACATGCACTTCCTTCAAATTGCAGTTTTCTTCTATAGGTGACACCCGTCCTCATATGACCCTGGCTGTTGCGAGGACATAAGTCACCTGATACAGTACATCCTTTGAAGTCCTTCTGTATGGCTTGATGATGTTTTCAAACCAATGGTCTGGAGCATTACTTGGGTAAGAAGACTGAATGCTGTTTAACAGAGGGTCTCTCTCATAATACTCTGGCTCCCTAGGGGGAGGAGTAGGGTCCCAAAGGGGGATTCTCCAATCAGATTTTACGTCTGTCTGTTCTTCTATCTGTTTTTAGCTCACCTGCCAAGGACAAGTGAGCTTTTGCCCTTGTGCGGCGTCCGGTCTCCTGTCCCGACCCGTCGCATCGCATCCCGATTCAATGTAAACACTTAGCAACTTCATTCATTGACAGACTTTGGTCAAACGTTGTGCAAAGGTCAAGTATGGGTATACTTCGGGTATCTTTGTATTTCAGGGATCCAAGGCCAAAGTCACATTTGCTAAATCATCCCGTCAAGTCACGTCCTGTCTGGATTCAATGTATACACTTAGCAACTTAATTCTTTGACAGTTTTAAGTATGAGTATACTTCATAAATCGTTGTATTTCAGGGATCTAAGGTCATACTTGCTACATATAGAAAATCAACAACTGATTCAATTTTAACACTTAGCAACTCCATTCAATATGTTATGGAGATGGTAATAGCATACAGAAAAAAACATGAATATTAAAGTCAACTTATCAACTTTAAGTGTAGAACCTTATGTGTGTGTGCATACATGGACTTTAAGCTTTTGGATAGCTTTTCAGCCTTTGATATCAAAGGTCAAGGTCATTTACTATAAATAGAACATCTGTTTGTGCACTGTATTTCGAATTCTGTTGAACTGATTACACTCAGATTTTATCGAGTCCTTCCCGGAAGAAAGTGCCTGCTTGG